CGCGAAGCGAACGGAGTTTAAATTTATGTTTAAATAACCGAAAGAAAATTTAATGTTGTTTTTATAAAACCCACCGATGGGAATAAACGAAAACAAAATACAAAATTCGAAGCGCAGAAAAAAAACACGACCGTTCACTTTGAAAGTCAAAGACAAATTAACATTTGCACATTTTAAAAATTTAATTTCTTCTGCACTGCTATTAGTTATTAATTTCTCGTCTTTTAGGTCGAGTACGACATCAGTTTTTTTTAGTAAGTCTTAGTAAGTCCGATTATTCCGTCAAAGGTCGTTAAGTTCGGTAGTAAGAAAAATGTTGTAGTTGTGTTAAAAAGGTGCATCATACATTTTTTATTTATGGTGTTGTGACCATGGATTGATTTTACAGAAAAAGGTTTATTTACGTAAATAATGTTTTTTAATTCTTTCATAGGCTTGACATAATTTTTGGAAGCCCCTGTGTCTATCAAAAGTTTGATTTTCCTCCCTGCGATATCCCTTTCTATGAATGGGAGCAGGGAGTTATGCCTTTATTTCGTCATATTCTACTTCTTCCTCTGCTACTGTAGGGTATTCGTCATTGTTTTCGTTCGATAAATCGTTGTCTAACGCTAAATGGTTTATTCTTTGATGTTTCGGTCCTGTGTACCTAGCGCTACTATTATTAGGTCTTTTACTTGCCAGTCCCTGGTTATTGTAAGCGTTCGTTTGGAAATTTTGTGGACTTGTCTGCCATTGACTGTTTTGTGGCTGTCTTTGAAACGGACCACTTTGTTGATTTTGAGTTGGCTGTCTAAAGCGAGATGAGCTATCGAAGTCCATTGGCTGTACCGGATCTTGTCTAAGTGGCTGTCTTGGCCTTTTATTAAAATGGGGGTTTTTACCCTCCGGGTGGAATCTAGATTCTGTTACCGGATTTCTTTCTCTGTCCAGTTGTCTCTGTTCGGACCTTTCGAGTTTTTCCTCCGTGCTACGGGCAAAATTACTTGCGAACATATATCGCTCATGGTTAGCCTCTACTTCCTGTGCTAGCGCTAGAGCGGAAGGAAGATCAGATGGTCTTGCTGAAAAAAGAACATCGCTTAGCGATTTTCTTGTTCCAGAAATAAAAACGCGTAGCGCATCCGCTCTGTATTTTTCGTTCAGCAGCTACGGTGTTGTCGTAGGTCATAATTGTCTTATTTATAAGCAGAGTCAGTTTTTTCTCTACTTCGTCATAGTACTGTAAGAGTGTCATGTTTCCTTGGCGGAGCGTTGACATCTCCTGTTCTATTAAATATACCGGCCGCTTGTCCGCGTATGTGAAGTCTAGTCGGTTTATTATGGCCCTAAAGTTCAGAGGTGTGTCGAACGACGAAAGAACCATATCGGCTGAATTTTTTATTTTATTTCTTAGTATCCCTAAAGCTTGGTAATGTTTGGAACTACCATCGTATTTTTCGTACACTTTATATGCGGTGTGCGCCGCTTTTCTCCATGAGACGTACGTCTCATTTTTACCCTCGAAGTCCGGCAGGGACTTCATAATATCTAAGGTCTCATTACATGTAATACCTATTCTGATCTCTGCATCTCTGTATGTTTCAACTTCTGGTGTACCGATATTAACACCACCTAGGCGCTTCTGAACGTCCTGTAATTTTTGTTCGAAATTTTTTTCCTGTGCGGCGAGTGCGCTCGCAACCGCGCCCTCTATAATGGCCTTTAATTGGTCGTTGGTCATTGCCATATTTAAGTTGTTTTGGTCTACTTGAAAATTGTCCGCGCTTTTTAACTTTCGGAATTCTTTTAACACTTCTTCTATCTCACTATCACACATATGTTTTAACACAAAGAACAAAGAATTTTGTTCCCACTGTATTTAATTTCTTTGTCGGAAAAATAAAAATTTTGAAAAATTATTTCCCGAGCTTGTGCCTTTTTTATTTTGTAGACTCTTGAAATATTTTTATTTATTTTGTTATTTTATAATTGTCAAAATTACTTTTTGAAAAATATTCTGATTTTAAAAAATTCGGGGAAAAATATCAATGAACACTCCACTTACATGGTTTTTATTTAATTGTAGAAAAATTAAATTGCTGCTGATGCTAGTGTTATCTTCCTTCTTTTAATTGCTGCTGCCGGTTCGACGGAGTTGGCGAATTGGTTTTTAAAATGTCTTTATTTTTAACTGTTCGAGGGTCTTACGAACGCGTTTTTTATTTTTTATTTTATTTTAACGGATCGAGGGTCTTACGAACGCGTTGGGTGCCAATTAATTATTTCCTTATTCAGGTTTTTACTTAAGACGCGGTACTGCGCGAATGAGAAGACTTAGGTTTCGGGAGGCGATGACCGTCACGATTTATTTCCAAAATTCAACTAAATACTAAGTACATAAATTCTTATAATGAAAGCTAGCCCTATGCCCTGAAAGTGCTGACCCGGCGCCCCGTGTGTGGTGTTGGGTAGCCGTCGGTTGCGTCGCAGTGCATTGCCCGCTGATAGCGCTGACCGAAGCTTGGGCTTCTGCTACCGTCGTTGTGCAATATCCGCAGGTGTCGCTGGCTTTGCATTATTCTCATGCCGGCTACGCGTGATCAGTTTGGCAACTTCTCTGTTGCCGGGTGACCGTGTTAACTTATCTACTCAAAGCTTCACAAGGCCCTGTGCAGTCTTAAGCCTAGTACTCAGATCGACTAACGAGTACGCTAGCGTAAAAACTTCAATCTCTGTAGTGTGACTAAAATTTTGAGAGTTCATCAGAAATATGCGTGCTACGGTCGTACTGTCAATCAGCTGGGTTTGTTTACAAGCCTAGTATCCAGATCGACAAACGATTATGCTAGCGTAAAAACTTTAATCTTTCCAGTGTGACCAAAGTTTCGAGATTTCATCTGAACTGAGCTTACTACGGTCTTACTGTCAATCAGCTGGGTTTGTTGACAAACAAAAAAGCAAACAAAGTTAAATGAAACGAAAATGTCGAGTTCAAAAAACACAAACTTGATTTTGGTTGTCAGCATGGCGGCATGTATTGTAGCACTAGAGGAGGAGGACAAAATACATCGGCCGAAATATTGGGTGAGCCCATATCTGCAGGAAAGGGCCCTTAAAAGCCGATATGCTTCCGACGTAAGTAATACTGTTCAATAATGTATTAATATTCGTGCACTAAAAAATATTTTCTTATCATTTTAAAGTTTCAAAACTTGTTGCAGACTCCCTCAATGTTTTTCGAAAACTTTCACATGCCTCAGAAGAGTTTTAACACTCTTTTGGAATACAGTACCTACCAAAACGGAACCCGCCCAGATGCTATACCAATAAAAGCAAAGTTGGCCATCGTTTTAGAGTAATTAGATTTTAAATATTTAGTCTTAGATAACAATATATTTATGTATTTTCAACTTATCGGATCAGTAAGCATCATTTTGGAGTGATTCTCCTCCAGGTGTCTATTGCCATTTGGACTGCTTTGCGGGATGAATTCCCCAAGTGGACGACGGGGAATATGCTGATGTGGGTTAAAGGCTTCGAAGAGGAATGAAACTTTCCTAATTGTATTGGAGCAGTCGACGGAAAGCATGTGGCGATAAAAGGCCCGCCAAATAGCGGAAGCCTTTTTACAATTATAAGGTAAGTACTTTTTAAATGCCAATAGAATTCAATAACAAATTTAATTTGTTTGTAATGTAGGGCTTTCATTCGATTGTGCTTATGGCAATCTGCAACGCTCACTATCGCTTCACATACATTGATGTGGGGGCTTTTGGTAGCGAAGGAGACATGAATGCCTTCTCCCACAGCGATCTTGGCAAACAGTTGCTCTTAGACCAGCTGCCCTTTCCGGAGGACAATGTTATAAACGGCCATCAAGCCCCTTATCACATTGTTGGTGATGATGCATTCCCCCTTCATAAGCGCATCATGAAGCCGTATAGTGGCAAGGATCTGCATAGGGAGGAGCGGATTTTTAACTACAGGCTAAGTCGGGCTCGTCGTTGAATTGAGAACGCATTTGGGATTCTCAGCGCTAGGTGGATGGCTGTACAACGAACTTTGTTAAGCAATCCATGCTAAGCTCAAAAAATCATTGTAGCCTGTTGTGCCTTGCATAATTTTTTGATGCGGGAGAGTCCAGCAACTTACTCGATGCAGGAGATACCAAGCACTGTCTGACCGACTTGCGACCCTGCCGACGAAGTCGCCCACAAGACTTCAGTAAAGAGGTTCGAAACAACCTTAAAGAATATTTAAACGGAAGTGCTGGATATTCTCAAGTACCTTGGCAAGACGAGTCTGCCGGTATACAAAGAAATTAAAAAAACATTAAAAGTTATTTTGCAATGTTAAATTTTTATACCCTTGCAGAGGGTATTATAATTTTGGTCAAAAGTGTGCAACGCAGTGAAGGAGACATCTCCGACCCTATAAAGTATATATATTCTTGATCAGGATCACCTCCTGAGTTGATATAGCCATGTCCGTCTGTCTGTTTCTACGCAAACTAGTCTCTCAGTTTTAAAGCTATCGAGTTCAAACTTTGCACACACCCTTCTTTCCTTTGCACGCAGTATATAAGTCGGAACGGCCGGGATCGGCCGACTATATCCTATAGCTGCCATATAACTGATTGATCGGAAATGCTATAACTTTGGTGTTTGTAAAGTTAGAAAGTTGGGATTTTCTATGGGTTTTATATTTGGCCAATCAATCCGACCTACCAAATTTCATAAGGATCGGCCGACTATATCCTATACTTACCATATAATTGAACGATTGGAAATGCCATATTTTTGGTGTTTTTAAAGTTAGGAAGTTGGGATTTTTTATGAGTATTAAGAATGCATCATATGAATAATTTTGGAGAATATAATTTACAGAGTATTCTGCAAGGGTATATCAACTTCGGCTCCGCCCGAAGTTAGCTTTCCTTTCTTGTTTTTCTTTTTATTGAATTATCGGCTGGCGTCTTTCTCCTCCCACAGAAGCTGGGTCATCTTCCTTTCGACTTCGGCAGCACGTTCCGGAGGAAACGTGCTTAGAATCGACTCCCAGTAGGCATATACCGGCCTTGGAAGAGTGGGAAGGGGAGCCTTTTGTTGTTGCTCCAGGAAGTTGCCCAACACGTCGCACATTTTGGCTGCTGGTGTTTCCTCCACCTTTCGCTTCTTGGCGGTCCTTCTTCCTCCACCCTTTGAAAGTATAGGTATATTTTAGAAGAAATTATATTATTTAATAGAAATTGGGCAACTTACATAGGAATAGAGTTCTTTTTGGACCACAGACAGCCCGACCTCCAGCTCCACTTCCGCTTCCAAAAAGCCAACTTTAATAGGGTCTTGAGACTCGTCAATGGAGTAGTCCATTGCTTGGGCTCCGTCGCTCTCCGAAAAAGCAGATTGGGTTGTTCTTTTAAAAATATATTATATTAGTATAATGTTAAAAAATTTTTGGAGGCAGTAGGCTCTGCGTGGATAAGTCCGGCAGGAAGCCCATGTAGGGGGCGAAATCCCACTCTGCAGCACCTGTAGGCTTCTCCAGTGGGTCTTCTCCAGCACTTTCACTCTTAGGCTGCTTGCACTTGTGGTACTTGTAACTGTCCCGCAGAGACTTCCCCGCCAGCTTGCAACTATTATCTAAACATAAATATTGTATATGTCCACGTTAACAAATATTTAAAAATGTACATTATAACTTACCATCTTTGTCCATTTCCCAGGCTATTTCCTCCCACGATCTTTTTATGAAAGTTGCATTAAAATGCTTTTTATTCGAAAGGTCCCACAATTCTGGGCGCGACTCCTCGCATCGTATCAATGCTATTTTTTTCACACTATTGAACTCCAGCAACCGACTTTTGCGGGTTTTCTGATTTTTTCCCTCCATTTTTTTAAATACACGATGAGAAGCGCACGCCAAAAGATTAAATTTTTTATTCTTTTTGCTAGGGTTCACCCAAAGTTCATTTCAGGTGGTTGGCAACGCGATGCAATTTTCTGGTATTTTTTTCGTCGAACTGGAGACCTAGGTCAAAAAAGCTTCACGAAAAGTGAACGCCAGCTGTTGCCTCTCGCTCTCTTTCATAACTGGCGTACGGTTTTCGTCGATCAGGATACTAGGCTACAAGCAGTTAAAATTCAAATATCGTATATGCGGGAAAGAGCCTTTAAAAGATATTATCAAGGTAGTTGGCAAGACAAGTCTGCCGCTGTACAAAGAAATTAAAAAACAATAAAATTTAAATTTAACAATTGTCTTTTTTTAATTTACTGATAATTATTTGCTAATTTAAAGTTCTTAGCTGCACTTATATTGTGTTTTTTCGTACATTTTTGACCTAAGAAACACTTTGCTCTGACAAGAGGCACCCCATATGGTATTAATGGTATTTTGTCCTCACATGTAAACTCCTCCCCCTTTTTTTTAAATTGTTCAGTGAGAAGCGCACGCCAAAAGATTACATTTTTTATTCTTTTCGCTAGGGTTCACCCCAAGTTCATTTTTTCGTCGATCTGAGTACCGAGGCGAAAAAAAGGACTAACGAAAAGTGAACACCAGCTGTTTACCTCTCGCTCTCTCTCATGATCGAGGGTCTTACGAACGCGTTGGGTGCCAATTAATTATTTCCTTATTCAGGTTTTTACTTAAGACGCGGTACTGCGCGAATGAGAAGACTTAGGTTTCGGGAGGCGATGACCGTCACGATTTATTTCCAAAATTCAACTAAATACTAAGTACATAAATTCTTATAATGAAAGCTAGCCCTATGCCCTGAAAGTGCTGACCCGGCGCCCCGTGTGTGGTGTTGGGTAGCCGTCGGTTGCGTCGCAGTGCATTGCCCGCTGATAGCGCTGACCGAAGCTTGGGCTTCTGCTACCGTCGTTGTGCAATATCCGCAGGTGTCGCTGGCTTTGCATTATTCTCATGCCGGCTACGCGTGATCAGTTTGGCAACTTCTCTGTTGCCGGGTGACCGTGTTAACTTATCTACTCAAAGCTTCACAAGGCCCTGTGCAGTCTTAAGCCTAGTACTCAGATCGACTAACGAGTACGCTAGCGTAAAAACTTCAATCTCTGTAGTGTGACTAAAATTTTGAGAGTTCATCAGAAATATGCGTGCTACGGTCGTACTGTCAATCAGCTGGGTTTGTTTACAAGATCCAGATCGACAAACGATTATGCTAGCGTAAAAACTTTAATCTTTCCAGTGTGACCAAAGTTTCGAGATTTCATCTGAACTGAGCTTACTACGGTCTTACTGTCAATCAGCTGGGTTTGTTGACAAACAAAAAAGCAAACAAAGTTAAATGAAACGAAAATGTCGAGTTCAAAAAACACAAACTTGATTTTGGTTGTCAGCATGGCGGCATGTATTGTAGCACTAGAGGAGGAGGACAAAATACATCGGCCGAAATATTGGGTGAGCCCATATCTGCAGGAAAGGGCCCTTAAAAGCCGATATGCTTCCGACGTAAGTAATACTGTTCAATAATGTATTAATATTCGTGCACTAAAAAATATTTTCTTATCATTTTAAAGTTTCAAAACTTGTTGCAGACTCCCTCAATGTTTTTCGAAAACTTTCACATGCCTCAGAAGAGTTTTAACACTCTCGCCCAGATGCTATACCAATAAAAGCAAAGTTGGCCATCGTTTTAGAGTAATTAGATTTTAAATATTTAGTCTTAGATAACAATATATTTATGTATTTTCAACTTATCGGATCAGTAAGCATCATTTTGGAGTGATTCTCCTCCAGGTGTCTATTGCCATTTGGACTGCTTTGCGGGATGAATTCCCCAAGTGGACGACGGGGAATATGCTGATGTGGGTTAAAGGCTTCGAAGAGGAATGAAACTTTCCTAATTGTATTGGAGCAGTCGACGGAAAGCATGTGGCGATAAAAGGCCCGCCAAATAGCGGAAGCCTTTTTACAATTATAAGGTAAGTACTTTTTAAATGCCAATAGAATTCAATAACAAATTTAATTTGTTTGTAATGTAGGGCTTTCATTCGATTGTGCTTATGGCAATCTGCAACGCTCACTATCGCTTCACATACATTGATGTGGGGGCTTTTGGTAGCGAAGGAGACATGAATGCCTTCTCCCACAGCGATCTTGGCAAACAGTTGCTCTTAGACCAGCTGCCCTTTCCGGAGGACAATGTTATAAACGGCCATCAAGCCCCTTATCACATTGTTGGTGATGATGCATTCCCCCTTCATAAGCGCATCATGAAGCCGTATAGTGGCAAGGATCTGCATAGGGAGGAGCGGATTTTTAACTACAGGCTAAGTCGGGCTCGTCGTTGAATTGAGAACGCATTTGGGATTCTCAGCGCTAGGTGGATGGCTGTACAACGAACTTTGTTAAGCAATCCATGCTAAGCTCAAAAAATCATTGTAGCCTGTTGTGCCTTGCATAATTTTTTGATGCGGGAGAGTCCAGCAACTTACTCGATGCAGGAGATACCAAGCACTGTCTGACCGACTTGCGACCCTGCCGACGAAGTCGCCCACAAGACTTCAGTAAGGAGGTTCGAAACAACCTTAAAGAATATTTAAACGGAAGTGCCCTATATTCTCAAGTACCTTGGCAAGACGAGTCTGCCGGTATACAAAGAAAAAAAAAAAAAAAAAAAGTTATTTTGCTATGTTAAATTTTTATACCCTTGCAGAGGGTATTATAATTTTGGTCAAAAGTGTGCAACGCAGTGAAGGAGACATCTCCGACCCTATAAAGTATATATATTCTTGATCAGGATCACCTCCTGAGTTGATATAGCCATGTCCGTCTGTCTGTTTCTACGCAAACTAGTCTCTCAGTTTTAAAGCTATCGAGTTCAAACTTTGCACACACCCTTCTTTCCTTTGCACGCAGTATATATGTCGGAACGGCCGGGATCGGCCGACTATATCCTATAGCTGCCATATAACTGATTGATCGGAAATGCTATAACTTTGGTGTTTGTAAAGTTAGAAAGTTGGGATTTTCTATGGGTTTTATATTTGGCCAATCAATCCGACCTACCAAATTTCATAAGGATCGGCCGACTATATCCTATACTTACCATATAATTGAACGATTGGAAATGCCATATTTTTGGTGTTTTTAAAGTTAGGAAGTTGGGATTTTTTATGAGTATTAAGAATGCATCATATGAATAATTTTGGAGAATATAATTTACAGAGTATTCTGCAAGGGTATATCAACTTCGGCTCCGCCCGAAGTTAGCTTTCCTTTCTTGTTTTTCTTTTTATTGAATTATCGGCTGGCGTCTTTCTCCTCCCACAGAAGCTGGGTCATCTTCCTTTCGACTTCGGCAGCACGTTCCGGAGGAAACGTGCTTAGAATCGACTCCCAGTAGGCATATACCGGCCTTGGAAGAGTGGGAAGGGGAGCCTTTTGTTGTTGCTCCAGGAAGTTGCCCAACACGTCGCACATTTTGGCTGCTGGTGTTTCCTCCACCTTTCGCTTCTTGGCGGTCCTTCTTCCTCCACCCTTTGAAAGTATAGGTATATTTTAGAAGAAATTATATTATTTAATAGAAATTGGGCAACTTACATAGGAATAGAGTTCTTTTTGGACCACAGACAGCCCGACCTCCAGCTCCACTTCCGCTTCCAAAAAGCCAACTTTAATAGGGTCTTGAGACTCGTCAATGGAGTAGTCCATTGCTTGGGCTCCGTCGCTCTCCGAAAAAGCAGATTGGGTTGTTCTTTTAAAAATATATTATATTAGTATAATGTTAAAAAATTTTTGGAGGCAGTAGGCTCTGCGTGGATAAGTCCGGCAGGAAGCCCATGTAGGGGGCGAAATCCCACTCTGCAGCACCTGTAGGCTTCTCCAGTGGGTCTCCTCCAGCACTCTTCGGCTGCTTGCACTTGTGGTACTTGTAACTGTCCCGCAGAGACTTCCCCGCCAGCTTGCAACTATTATCTAAACATAAATATTGTATATGTCCACGTTAACAAATATTTAAAAATGTACATTATAACTTACCATCTTTGTCCATTTCCCAGGCTATTTCCTCCCACGATCTTTTTATGAAAGTTGCATTAAAATGCTTTTTATTCGAAAGGTCCCACAATTCTGGGCGCGACTCCTCGCATCGTACCAATGCTATTTTTTTCACACTATTGAACTCCAGCAACCGACTTTTGCGGGTTTTCTGATTTTTCCCTCCATTTTTTTAAATACACGATGAGAAGCGCACGCCAAAAGATTAAATTTTTTATTCTTTTTGCTAGGGTTCACCCAAAGTTCATTTCAGGTGGTTGGCAACGCGATGCAATTTTCTGGTATTTTTTTCGTCGAACTGGAGACCTAGGTCAAAAAAGCTTCACGAAAAGTGAACGCCAGCTGTTGCCTCTCGCTCTCTTTCATAACTGGCGTACGGTTTTCGTCGATCAGGATACTAGGCTACAAGCAGTTAAAATTCAAATATCGTATATGCGGGAAAGAGCCTTTAAAAGATATTATCAAGGTAGTTGGCAAGACAAGTCTGCCGCTGTACAAAGAAATTAAAAAACAATAAAATTTAAATTTAACAATTGTCTTTTTTTAATTTACTGATAATTATTTGCTAATTTAAAGTTCTTAGCTGCACTTATATTGTGTTTTTTCGTACATTTTTGACCTAAGAAACACTTTGCTCTGACAAGAGGCACCCCAAATGGTGTTAATGGTATTTTGTCCTCACATGTAAACTCCTCCCCCTTTTTTTTAAATTGTTCAGTGAGAAGCGCACGCCAAAAGATTACATTTTTTATTCTTTTCGCTAGGGTTCACCCCAAGTTCATTTTTTCGTCGATCTGAGTACCGAGGCGAAAAAAAGGACTAACGAAAAGTGAACACCAGCTGTTTACCTCTCGCTCTCTCTCATGACTGGCGGACAGTTTCCGTCGATCTGAGTACTAGGCCTTAGCGTTATCGAGTTTTGGTCATGACTTGTTTGACTTATAAAGGTGTATATCGTTGGCAGCAAGCTACAAGAAGAAGCAAGTATATGGACAAAGAAAATAGTCACTGAGGTCCTGTTGGTCTTTTTGGAGGAAATAAAGTCTTAAATCCTTTAAATTCAAAATCGAAACAAAAATCAGGCTCGAGTCGTTTATTGTCACAATATATGCAGGTTGTGTCGATAGAAGATTAAAGCCTTTATAGAAAGAAATAAATCAGCTTAATACGTTAAAAATATTCAATATATTTATGATATTTATGATATTCTGTAATGCTTTATATGAAGTAGATGCGACCAAAAACAGAGAAAGTCGTCAATACTCCTTGTGAACGTTGATGCAGATGCAGCGCAGCCTGTCTGAACAAACTATTAGCCGAATATTTCATTAAATGTTCATCATTTCCTATCGAAACCAAAATCTCAATTTCGGTATATCGATATTATTGTGTGTGAATAACCCAGCTCTAGTCACGGATGCGTCCCTTTGATTTCTACCGAAAATAATTTTAGATTTATGTGTAAAATTAAAATTTCTGTGCTATACATTTTTCATTTGCCTAAAACCCAAAAATTATCTCTAAAATTTTTGTTACAAAGCGACGTTGAAGCAAAAATATGACTTCCGAAACTGAATTCGGGAAAACGTTGGTGGTAAACATAGGAAATTTTGAGAAGATCCAAAACATTCTAAATGACAAAGATAAGTACAAGGAAATACTTGAAAATAGCGAGAATTTCAACACTCGTCTGTGCATTGAACGAAGACTTCGTATGCCATTTCTCGACCCCCAGACTGGGGTCGCACAGACACATTGTTCTTTGTTCATGAAAAAAAAACAACGTATGCCAGGATTCCGACATGGCCAGATATACACTTATCCATCTTCCCGCTGGCGCAAGCCCAAGCGTCAGTATTTACTTAACCCGAACCAGAGCTACAAAGCGTTTCAGTACCGCGAACACCATATCCAACACTCCCACCATCAACCGCACCAGCATCAACATCACCATACTTCTGGCGTTGCTATCACACGAGATCTCCATCTAGCTGAAAGCGCAGGTGAGAAAATAAATTTTGAATGCATTTAAAACAGCAAATTAGATTTTTCGGTGATTTGCAGGTTTTAAAATTACCCAAAAAGAGGTTTTAAATTTCAAATCTCCATACGTTTTCTTAGTCTAAACCCCACTTGTCGCTTAAACCTAGTACTGAGATCGACGAAAACTGTACGCCAGTCTTTTGTCAAGGGTCCTCAGATAGGTCCTCAGATCGACAAAACAAAAAACAGAAAATTGCATAGCGTTGCCAGTCTGCGGAAATGAACTTTGGGCGAACCCTAGCGAAAAGATTTAAAAATGTAATTTTTTGGCGTGCGCTTCTCACTGAACCTTTTCAAAAATGGAAAAAAAAAATAAAAAAACCCGCAAAAGTCGATTGCAGTTTACATGTGAGGACAAAATAATATTAATACTATCTGGGGTGGCTCATATCCGGGCAAAATGTTTCTTAAGTCAAAAATGTACGAAAAAACGCAATAAAACGCAGCTATGAACTTTAAATTAGCAAATAATTATCAGTAAATGATGAACTCTCGAAATTTTGGCTACACTGGAAAGATTAAAGTTTTTACGCCAGCTAACTCGTTTGTCGATCTGAGTACTAGGCTTTACCATCAAGTCGAGAAATCGGGCTATATATATCTCGAGTTATCTGTTTTTTGTATAGCCTGAAACACGGTAATTTTGGTTAGAAATTGGTAAAGCACTGAAGGAGAAATTGGCCGCAAAAGCGAACAGAAAACGATAATCATTTTAAAATTCTGATGATTCTGTAGTGTATCGTAGCTTACTCAAACAATACAATAAAAAAATTCTTAAATTCAAATAAATTAAAAACCTTGAAAATTGTGATTACGTAATAAAGGGTGTTGTTCTAGACGTACGGGTTTTAAGAAGAAATAAAACGCATATAATTTGGTGTTGAGACGTTTTACGAAGTTTTACGTTTAAAAAATAGATTTTGGCTGGCTCGAATAATAACAGTTGATTGCAGAGGGTATTATAATTTCAGTCAAAAGTTTGCAACGCATGAGACATTTCGGATACTATAATGTATATAGGGTATAAAGTATATATATATATATATATATATAAAGTATATTCTTAATCAGCATTACCAGTAGGGTTGTCGAAAATTTTAAGAATATCGTATCAATGATACTTTTTTTATAAAAAAAAATGATAATATTTAAAATATCACATAAAAATGGCGATATATTTGATATTTTTTGTGTTAAATGAAAAAATTGACCGCCCAAAATAAAAAGACAATAAGTTTCTTTTTAAAAACAATAGTATTTTATTATACATATTTTATGACCAGTATGGAGGGTTTAGGGATTTTAATAACACCCTTTGCGTTATGTGTGCGTCAGTCATCCTGCTTCTTGAGTCGCACACAACACATTTGATGGCGGACGCCGTTTATTATATCCGTATAGTTTGATTATACACTCAATTTTTTATTTCGCGCCTGAATTCTTTCAGTCGATGTCGCTTTGGAATTCAGAGTGACCAAAGGCAAAAATATCAAACAAAATATCGGAATTCCGATATTTGGGCAAATAAAAAATCACGATATAAATATATTTTTTTAGGAAAAAAGATCGATATATTGATATTTTGATATATTATCAACAACCCTAATTACCAGGAGAGTCGATCTAGCCATGACCGTACGTCCGTCCGGATTGGGCGACTATAATATTTAGCTCCCATATGAACAAAAAAGTATATCTGTGTTTTTTAAATTTTTTTTTTGTTCTTTTGGGATTGAGTAATATTTAAAAACTATGGATTTACGGTTTTTAGTAAATTAAAATAGGATCTGTGGGCAAAAAGTAAGGTAAATTTGTTTGTAAAATAAAAAATCTTAATTTATTCTCCTAAATCAATTTCATCTCCTTCAAAGTAATCCCCTCCCGATAAAATACACTTATGTCAACGTTTTTTCAAATCTTCGATAAATGCCAAATGGTTCCTTTCCGGTATAGCCATGAGCGCCCTTTTCAATTCAGCTTTTATCTCCTCAATCAACTCGAAACGCGATCCACGGAGTGGTCTCTCGAGTTTTGGGAATAGTCAGAAGTCACACGGAGCCAAATCAGGAGAATACAGTGTTGCGGAACGAGGAACGAGTGCAGTGTAAGACGGTGCATTATCGTGATGCAAAAACCAAGAGTTGTTGGCCCATAATTCTGGTATTTAAACGAATTGCTTCACGCAAACGACGCATAACGCTCAAATAATATTCCTTATTAACAGTTTGGCGAGGTGGAAGGAATTCATAGTACACCACACCACGAAAATCGAAAAAACTGTCACCATGAACTTGATTTTTGAACGACTTTGACCTCGCCTTTAGCACGATATTCGCTTGATTGGTCTGTGGTTTCAGGGTCGTAAGCATAAATCCAAATCTCATCTCCCGTAATTAATAATAATAATCCGCCGATGAATTTTTGGCAAGAAATTGAGCGTTTTCGGTACCAAACGAGATTTGACTTTTCGTAAGCCCAGATGGTCTTTGAAAATGGTTTTCACAGATCCTTCTGATATTCCGATCATATCCCAACTTCCGAACTTAACAAACATCAAAGTTATGGCATTTCAGATCAATCAGTTATATGGCAGCTATAAGATATAGTCGGCCGATCCTTATGAAATTTGGTAGGTCGGATTGATTGGCCAAATATAAAACCCATAGAAAATTCCAACTTCCTAACATTACAAACACCAAAGTTATGGCATTTCCGATCAATCAGTTATATGGCAGCTATAGGATATAGTCGGCCGATCCCGGCCGTTCCGACATATATACTGCGTGCAAAGGAAAGAAGGCTGTGTGCAAAGGTTTCAACTCGATAGCTTTAAAACTGAGAGACTAGTTTGCGTAGAAACTAGTTTGGTGTTTGTTAAACTAGGGAGTTGGGATTCTCTATTGGTTTTATTTTTGGCCAATCCGACCTACCAAATTTCATAAGGATAAGCCGACTATATCCTACAGCTGCCATATAACTGAACGATAGGAAATTTCATAACTATAGTGTTTTTAAAATTAGGAAGTTGGGATTTTTTATGACTATTAAGAATGCATCATATGAATAATTTTGGAGAATATAATTTACAGAATATTCTGCAAGGGTATATCAACTTCGGCTCCGCCCGAAGTTAGCTTTCCTTTCTTGTTTTATTGATAACACCATTGAAAACTACACTTTACCAAATAAGTTGAAGTTTTCTAATAAAAACATTAATGTTTAACCTTTGTCATGACGACCATGAGGGTTTTGTTTTTAAATTTTTAAATTTATTGTGGGACGAAGTTGCAGGTTGCAGGTAAATTGTCGGAATAGACTATGATCAAGATCAAGCTGTCCAGCATCTATATTTTTAATAAAATTGTTTCGAATAGAATTTAGACTTTTAGTCTCAATTTTTGCACACATAACAACGAAAAATAGACTTAAAATAGTTTCGAGGTGTACCAAATGATTCGTTTCAGATTCTATAATAATTATAATTAATGTCTTTTTTATGTTTTTGCTAAACTACCATAAGAGGGATAAACTAGTAAATCAATGTTGTTTGTTACTATTACTTTCACATATGTGAAATTGAACAGATTTTCGTTCCGCGTGAACAATTATTATTCCCGTTTCTAGTATTCGTTGAAAAGAATGTGATCAATTTTTGTTGTGTTTAGAGCCAAACAAGATTATAAGTGGGGCGTACCATTGGGGTGAAACATGTCAGAAACATGCTCCCACCCAAAAATCGGTTTTCTGGAGTATTAAAAGGACCTACTTTGGTTTGTCCGACTGACGGAATCAAAAAGGGCTACAGTCCCCAGCAGAATATCAAATGGAGCGACTGCTTAAATTTTGTATCCGCAAGAAGGTGTTATCCGAAAGGTTCGCTGTCGATGTATCAATATCAATGTCAGACTAATAAGCGATGTAGATATAAGAGATAAAGTATATTTTAGTAACTTCAGAAATACGGTTTTAGTTTTATAAAAATCGGACGACTGTATCATAAAGCTAAAATAGGAACAATCGGGAAAAAGAGAAATAAAATTATATATTATTATTATATTATTATTATTATAATTATATATCTATCTACATCGAGATATAGAATTTTTCTTAGTAATTTTATATATACGGGTTTAGTTTCATAAAAATCGTTCGACTTTAATATTTATTTTTTGTTTCGTTACATATACCCCTTCACTCCGATATGTTATAATTATACCCTTGCAGAGGGTATTAAAATTTCAGTCAAAAGTTTGAAACGCAGTGAAGGAGACATTTCCGACCCTATAAAGTATATATATTCTTGATCAGCATCACCAGGAGAGTCGATATAGCCATGTCCGTCTGTCCGTCCGTCCGTCCGTCCGTCCGTCTGTCCGCCCGTCAAAAGTTGTCTTTCTATTGCAGGTCGTATATAAGTCGGATCGAGACGGATCGGGCCACTATATCATTTAGCTGCCATATAACTGATTGATCGGAAATGCAATAACTTTGGTGTTTTTAAGGTTAGGAAGTTGGGATTTTCTATGGGTTTTATTTTTGGCCAATCAGACTGACCTACCAAATTTCAAGGATCGGACGACTATGTCCTATAGCCGCCATATAACTGATTGATCGGAAATGCCATAACTTTGGTGTTTGTAAAGTTAGAAAGTTGGGATTATCTATGGGTTTCATTTTGTTGAAAATCAATCCGACCATTCAAATGTCATAAGGATCGGCCGCCTATATCTTATAGCTGCCATATAACTGAACGATTGGAAATGCCATAACTTTGGTGTTTTTAAAGTTAGGAAGTTGGGAATTTGTATGAGTATTAATGCATCATATAAATAATTTTGGAGAATATAATTTACAGAATATTCTGCAAGGGTTGATATACCCGGGCTCCGCCCGAAGTTAGCTTTCCTTTCTTGTTTTTAATGATTTTAGAATTACGGTTTTACGTTTATAAAAATAGGACGCCATGTTTAGCAGTTGGCCTTAAGTTCTTGTCCTGCAGCTCTGTATTCGTGGGACATGTAATGGTTTAGGCCTGTATGTCCTCTGCAGGCTTGAGTGCATTGAAAGCACAATGGATAACTGGATTTAAATGTTCTTTAAAAAAATGTACCTAAAAGTGCCGAAGATTTGGGTATAAACAGAGAACGTAAGTAGTGCTGACATTAGATACCGTTACTCAGCAACAACTTAGATTTTGCATTAACATATTGTTAATTAGAGTGACCACAGGAAAAAAGGACAAAATGTTCAAATTATCAATTTGAATTCGGCGATCTCTTAGAGCTGGCAGCTTTACAGCACGAGCATCAGCGCCAGCGCTGCTTTAGCGCAGGCAGCTTTTGTCCTGCACCAGCATACGCACATACGCCATTGTTTGACTCAGACCTCCAATTTGGCTAACTTCATTTGATTTGCATAGTTCTTGGGATATAGTTCGGTATTGACAAATAAAAACCATCGCCATTTCCTTTAATCGAGAATTAACGTTGACTCTGTTGAGCACCTTGGCCAGCTGTTCCAAAGTCATCCGTTAGATGGCGCTATTGTATTGCGCCATCTACCCCAATACATTGGTACGACGGGCCATGAAAGGCGGAAATGTAGGCGCTAGCCAGGCTTAAGCGTTTAATGGGTTTTTGGGCGTTAGAGTGGGCGTGGCAAACTTTTATTAGGCCAATCGATAGGTATTGACGAAACAAATACATATCAATTAAAATTTTCATAATAGCATCAAACCTGTGGTCACAGCTTGTGGTTTGTGGGCGTCAGAGGGGGCGTGGCACCGTTTTGAAACAAACTTGCGCTGCGTAGGAACTCCTAAAATCTACATGCAAAATGCCAATCTTCTAGCTTTTATAGTTTCCGAGATCTCAGCGTTCATACGGACAGACAGACGGACAGGCGGACAGACGGACATGGCTAGATTGACTCGGCTAGTGATCCTGAACAAGAATTTATATACTTTATAGGGTCGGAAACGCTTCCTTCTACCTGTTACATACTTTTGCACGAATACAATATACCCTTTTACTCTACGAGTAACGGGTATAAAAACCCACCACTAGGAATTTGGTGGAATCTATGAAAAAATCGGTCATAGACCAGAAGGAGGGATATTTGTTATATCTTTTTAGTTAAATAATTAACAAAATGGGTCGTTACATTGAAAAAATAAGTTTTTTTTTGTTTAAGTAGACTAATTTTATAATCTTTTATTTTAGAAAAAAGTAAGTCATTTTGTTGAGCATATAAAATCAATTAATTTTGTCCATATCGATTTTTGTTCAAAAATTATACACATTTATAAATGAAAATAGCAGGTCTGTGAAAAGGCTGTACATCAAATAGCCTTTGCCCTGTAACTAAAGGAAGTGTTTCAATTTGGAAAAAGAGTAACTCACTGAAAGGTCAGAAATGTTATGTTGGCAGTCGCATTAGATAATTTGAGAATTTGTCTTTAAATGTTAAAAATAGTTTTTATAAGTAGATATATCAATGTGTGACAGTGGCGTGCCGGTCGTACACTGTCCAATCTAAGTAAATAAATATTAGGTTGTTTGGTAATGACATACCGGTTTCTTTATTGATTTTTGACGACGATTTTAACATAGTTAGCATTGTCCGATTTAAGTGCTATATGTACCGTTGTCTTCGATGATTTTCTGCATTTTGATGGTAACTTGTATATGCCTCTCCTAAAGAAGTCCTTGTGCCTACTGGTAAAAAACTCGGCGATTCGATTTTCACAATCTTCCCTTGAACTCAATTTTTTCCATCGAAAAAATTTTGCATGGCCAAAAACAGATGGTAATCGCTTGGGGCAATGTCCGGACTATAAGGTGGATGCATTAACACTTCCCAACGTAGCTTGTGACGCGTCACCAAAGATGTATGGGGCCTGGCGTTGTCATGATGGAACACAACGCCTTTACGATTCACCATGGCTGGCCGCTTCTGTTCAAGTGCAATCTTCAATCGCTCCAGTTGTTTACAGTAGAGGTCAGAATTGATAATTTGGCCATAGGGCAACACTTCATAATGGATAATTCCTCTGATATCCCACCATACACTCAGCAACACCTTCTGAGCCGTCAGTCCTGGCTTTGCCACCGTTTGAGACGACTCACCGTGCTTCAACCAGGATCTTTGCCGCTTTATGTTGTCATATGTGATCCATTTTTCATCACCAGTGACTAACCGATCCAGAAATGAGTCGAAAGATTCGCAGATTGATACACGGTCGAAAAGGTTTTTTTGGGATAACTCATGAGGCACCCATACATCGAGCTTTTTTGTTAAATTTTTCGACTTTAAATGCCTATGGACGGTTTCCGTGCTTAGTTGCAGTTCTTCTGCGATGGTTCAGTCACATGACGATCTCGATCCACTATTTCCATGATTTTATCCGTATCAACGGTCACTGGTGGTCCGCAAGGTATCGAAATTGCCACTTCGGAATCGCCTAAACCACTGTTCGGCGGTTTGAATTGAAAGTTTGTTATCTCCTAAGACAGCAATAATCTGTCTGCGAGATTCCGCAGCAGTTTTTCCCTGTGCGAAATAAAATTTCAAAATTGCCCGAATTTCTGCGTTTGTGAACTCCATTTCAATCGTTTGTAATTTTTTAACGTGGAAGCTCATGTAAACAAACTATATGTCATTTTAAAGGTTATGCCAATACCTTTCAAACGTTATACAGCATTGCCAGATACGATTATATTTGACTTCACAAGCGAAGCGCGAAATTTGAATGTAAAAACCGGTATGTCATTACCAAACAACCTAATATATAATATATAATATTTTCGTTTGAAGTATTTATCGCAAACATATGAATTTTAAACATGCATTTATCATTTGTATACCCTTGGTAAAAAATTTTGCACCGCGGTAAAGGAGACACTTTCGACCCTGTTGTCCGATTATAGTCGTTTAGTTTAACTTTCCCAAAAATCTTTTTATTGCAGTCGTATCTGGCCGGATTGGAGATCATATAAAATAAAAATTTCCTTCAATTTTTTTTTTAATATACGCTTACACTTGATATTCAGTTTTTTTATATTTTCAAAAATTCCAATTAAATTGAAAAATTTTCAGTAGACGATTTCATATTATTAAAACAATAGGAAAAATAAATACTAAAAAATATAGCTACAATATTTTTTTTAACGCATGCTTCTTTTCCGTTTTTGCCAGGAACCACGATTTATTCATCAAATGATCGTGGAATTTTACAAAGGGGAGTTGAGAACCGTCTTCACAATACAAAAATTTTGATTTTAGGAATTGCAATGTCTTGCCATCGCTCCCAGTCAATTCAACTTAGAGCGTTGGCACAAGATGGCCATAATAATTGAGTTATTATATTGAATACATTTTAATAGTTTAAAAGTAACTTTTATTGTTTGCATTAAATTTCCTCTGGGCTAACGTATTCGACGAAGGTGTTATTCAAATTTTTACATAATTATTTTTTTTTTTGCTTAAATGTCCTATAATATTTTATAATCTCTTAATTATTAATGATTTAATGATAGGTCACAACAGGATGAAGGCACCAAAAGCTATTATAATAATCGATGTGCATAGGAGAGATTATCTGAAGCGCAACAAAAACATAAATTGTTGTAAAATTTGAATTTTTTCCATACAAGTTCGGAAAAAATCGTTATGGTTCTTTTATTAAAAATGGTATTGTTAAATGACATAACAAAGTTCAGTCCTTACCGCATACAATTATATAACTAATGTCATAGAAATTGAAAAAATGCCATACTCTCCCCTACTTATTGTTATATTAAAAAAATGGTAGTTAAGAAACTAAGTACGACTGGCTACTTAATAGGGTCGGAAATGGCTTCTTCACAACGTTGCATAATTACATAATTATAATATCATCTGCCAGGGTATATAAATCAATGAAGTACTAGCTTTATATTATTTGCGTAGTAACCGCTTCTCCAAAACTGGAAAATAATAAATAACTTTTTCAGTATTCTTAACAAAAATAATAGTCTTAATTAAATATTTAAATAATTCAACTAATTTATATGTATTCTCAAAAAATTTCTTAGTAATTGTTGCAACTGATGGCAACTCCATGGGAGCCTCGGGAGACAATGATAGTAAGGACTCACATGCAAATGCGGAGAAGGAATGGTTTCACGAGGAAATGGACACATCTCATTATCATCATGGCGATGATTATGAAGATGACTTTGATTCAGATAACGATTTTGACGAGTCTTATACCAGTAGGGGTAAACGTAAAAAAGGTTCCAGACTTCGACGTACGAATGCAAACGTAGAAGGCACTCCAAAACGTGGTCGCAAGGGTGGTGGTAAGTAAATTTCATTCAGCTGAGTAAAGGCTAAATTCTGCATTATTGAAATATTAGGCAATCGTCGGAGAAACACTGTTGAAGGAGAATCAGATCGAAAACGTCGTGGCGGTGCTAATAGTGCAAATACATCAGCAGCTGCCGCGGCAGCTGCGGCAGCAGTCGCACACGCAGCCAGCACTGCAGCAGCAGCAGCTGCCGCCGCAACAGGGCTCTATGTATCTCACTCGAACTCGGCTTCGCCCATTGCAACAAATGACGATAATTCACAGTCAGCAATGATAATGCCAACACCTATAGCTTCTTCGTACGAAAAGACTTCAATCGACGCTGGAGCTTCCAATGACTCAATGCCTCTAGCGACTATGGCTGGAATAAGCATAGGCTTGGTTGCAACTTCTAACGTCTCCAACTCCTCGTCGGTACACTTAACAAGTCCTCCCGGGTTTGTTACGGGAGCTAGTCCTAATAAGGCCAAACAACGCGTTGAACGCGAAATAGCTCAACCGTCTCCTTACTGTGACTTTTGCTTGGGAGATCACCGGGAAAACAAAAAAACCAATATGCCCGAGGAGCTAGTGTCGTGCTCGGACTGCGGTCGCTCAGGTCATCCATCGTGTCTGCAGTTCACAGCCAACATGATAGTATCAGTTAAACGTTATCGCTGGCAATGCATCGAATGCAAGTACTGTTCCATCTGTGGGACCTCTGATAATGACGACCAGTTATTATTTTGCGATGATTGTGACCGTGGATACCATATGTATTGCCTGTCGCCACCGCTTATTACTCCTCCAGAGGGGTCTTGGAGCTGCAAGTTATGCATGGAGGAGTTCCACAAGAATAAATCATCGGAAATTTAAAGTTTTAACAAATATTGAATGCACTCTTCTGAATTATCAGCAATTCTCTTACTTATATATTTGTACATGGTAACGAATTTATTTTATTTAAGTACCTTTGTTAATTTTAACAACTCACATATTTGTACATGATAACTATTTTATTTTCTAACTTAATTGAATCTTCAAAGTATTTTCATAGTATTATTTTTTTTGAACTAATGTATTTCTCCACGTAAATTTTTACAAATTTTAATATTTGGAATGCATAAGTAAAAAAAAAGAAAATATTAAACATGCTTGTAGTGAGTATCAGTTCAGGGAAGTCAAAATATACTTAAGAACTATTGGGCATTCTGGCATCTAAGAATAATCGACAGAACAAGAGGATCAAATATGGACAACATATAACATTGTGTTGCACTAAAAATGTAAGTTTATGAAAGTATATTTTTTATTAATAGGTTTCAGTTTGTTGAAATCAATTCAAATGGCCAAATCTCGCAAGGAACTAATTTTACTATGTCTGCATATTAAGAAAATGGAACTCAATGTTAAAACAGAAAATAAAGCAACTTTCAGCACGCCGAATTTTCATGCCCTTGCAGCTATAAGAATCGATTTTTTTAGATTTCAATATCTTTTTCAATCTTTCTTTATGTTATAACATAACCTTCTCAAATTTTTACCAAATGGAAATGCAATTTTTAATCGTTAAAAACGTATATGTTGAGTTTTATGTACAAAAAAATGTCAATTTCCTTAATATTTTCCTATTAATTATCGGATCTTTTCTATGATACATTTATGATATATTAGACGTCCAATTTGTATAGATTTAAAAATGAATTTTTGAAAATGCAATAAATAGATTTATTTGAAAGTATATGGGAATAAGTAAAAAGATCATATGTATTTATAAAATCAGAATCCGTTCAGATCCATTAAGAGTCTTTTAACAACTAACTCATTACTAATATAATTATTGGCAGTGCCTGGTGCCTTTTCCAACCACTTAGCCACTGTCGGTGTTGCATATCATTCTTCCAGACTGCTGATTTGGAGAACCTCAACATTCTAGGGCTTTATGCTAACTCCTGGCACGTGGTTCCAATTAAAGCATCACACTGGCCAACGAATTTTTACCCCAATTTTTTTATATATATATATATAAGTCTTATTTATCACGCGGTACAAGGATTACCCTTGTTTTCGTTTGTTGTAAGGTGTAGGTTCTCCATTCTTGAGCGATTCACGTGTGGTCATAGTGAATTAATCAGGTAGTGTGGGTATAGGAACGCCCATGTCTGCCCGGCCGCAATCGGCAATCAAATTATCTTGCCCAAAATTTAGAATCTTATTATTATATATTATACGGAATATCTCTAAAAGTTCGGTGATACTAAAATTTTTAAGATTCTTGTGATTAATTTATTTAACATAAATTTTATCTAAAATTGAGGGGATTATATTTTCTTTTGTCAATGAAATATTTCTAATTTTCTAAATATAACAAAACCGAAGTCTTGGTGGCTAAAAAAATGTATTTCGCAAAACGATGGCGAACGAAAAATAATACGACTGTGCGGCTTAACTGAACTTCAATGATAAAAACTATATTTCCGACAATTACTCTTAGAGCCTAGCTTAACGAAGATTGGCGAGGACGGGGCGACTTCGCAGATAGCGAGAGAGAACTTTATTGTGCTTCCGCCTTCGCCCTAAACTAACTACACTATGCTTTCAAATTTACAAAAAAATTCCTCCTCGACGACTCTGACCATGCCGTCCTCCTATGCGTGCATGGCGACTACTCTCCCTAGGAGCCATTGTTGGGGCGGCAAGTTGTCCTCGGCCACGATGACGAGATCTCCCTCGATTATGTTCGGCTGCTGTTAATGCCACTTGCCGCGATTTTGTAGGCCCAGGGCATATTCCCGGAATCATCGCCGCCAGAACAAAGCCGCCATCGCAGCAAGCAACTGAGACCCTCCTGGTCCGCGGTCCGGAGTGCTGGTGTGGCGAGCAGCGGCCCGCTTGTCAGCAGGTGCCCGGAAATCAGCTCCTCCGTCGCTTGGGTCGTTGCTGATCTCTCCGAGCAGCCGGGAGTTTATCACCGCCACGATTCTCACGAGGCCAGTTTCCAGCTCTTCTGCGCTTAGAAGCGCGCTACCCATCGCTCATAGGTACTTGGCAGTTTTGACAACTGCCTCAAAAGTCTTCCCATGTGCGGAGCCCGAAATGGTGTGAACGCAAATTCGCATCCGCATCGGCGACAATGTTTTTTTCAAATACTATACGTTTGTCTTAGCATTTTTTAGGTGTGACAAAAATCTACTAAATCCAAATTTCATACAGCAGCGGTCAGCCCGACCGCAGTCTTCCTCGATTCTTGTACTAGGACTTCATCATCTAGGTCAAAAGTGCGATTTTTGGTGCCAGTTTTTATCTTTCTCACGTCACTACCTCTTGATGAGCGTTTTTTTTGTGAACATAAAACACTAATTATAAATGGGAAAGTAAAAACATTTTATTCAAAGTATTGGCCATTGTTTTCTACACATTTTGACCACCTTTCTGGCAATTTGTGGATACCACGCCAATAAAATTATTCGTCTTTTAAAATAAACCAACCAGACACCCAATTTTCCTCGTAGGAATCAACGAGCTGCTCAACCAATGGGTGTCCCATCTATGAAAACAAATGGTGGGGTAGAAGCTCCCAGTTTTGATTGTATCCTGAACCAGTTTTGCTTTGTGTGCAGGTGCATTGACATGGAGCAAAATTACCTTGCCGTGTTTTCTGGCCCATTCTAGTCGTTTCTCGATCAATGCATGGTTCAAATTAATCATTTGTTGTCGGTAGCGATCAGTATTAACGGTTTCACCAGATTTTATGAGCTCTTAGTACACCACACCTTTCTGGTCCCACCAAACACACCGCATTGTCTTCTTGCCGAATCGATTTAGTTTTGCAGTCGATGTTGATGGTTGTCCCGGATTAACCCACGATTTTTTTTCGTTTATGATTCTTAAAATAAATCCATTTTTCATCGCCAGTAATAATCCGATGCAAAACCGATTTTCTTCCGTGTCTTTGAAGCAAAATTTCACAAGGGTTTTTTTGGTTTTCCATCTGTCTTTCATTCAATTCATGTGGCATCCATTTTCCCCATTTTTGGATCTTTCCCATAGCTTTTAAACGGTCAGAGATTGTTTGTTGTGCAACATTTAAGATTTCTCCATCCAATATCGTTTGCAATTCGGCGTCTTCAAACTTAGTGGTCTAAAATCATTATTTATGCACCGTTGAAACCATCCTTTAGCATGTTGCTACTGATAGAGCATGATCACTATATGGCTCGGCAAGCATTCGATGCGACTCTGCAGCACTTTTCTTCAAATGAAAACAAAAAATTAATGCTTTCCGCAAATCATCACTTTCTGGTACAAAATTCGACATTTTTAACACGATTAAAAATATGATGTTGTCTGTTCACTGACAATATTTATAAATATTTTTCACAGATGTCATAGCAAACAAAAGAAATAAATAAAGGATCGAGACATTTGTATTTTCTCGCTCACTTCATACCGGTATATTCTTTATCAGCATGAACAGGAGAGTCGATCTAGCCATGTCCGTCTTTCCGTCCGTTTCTACGCAAACTAGTCTCTCAGTTTTAAAGCTATCTACTTGAAACTTTCCCAAAAGTTGTCTTTCTGTTGACATATTTACGTCCACAATAGAAATATACGTCGAATCGAGCCGGATCGGGCGACAATATCATGTAGCTCACATAGGCACAATCGGATAAAAAAAATTTAAAAAGTACAACTTAGTTGTTTATAATTTTTTGCAAGGGTATATAAACTTCGCCTCGCCGAAGTTTGCTTTACTTCTTGTTAAACATCGAATAGTTAGAAATGGGGCAGGTCTAGTACCATATGTTACGGTGTTGAGCTTGTATAATCGCACACTATAAGTGGAAACTGCCTATCTGCTTCATTCACCATCACTTGGCGATACGTTTTCTTTACATCGGTGGTCAGGGCGAACCTATGCAGCCGGAAGCGCAGCAACGTTGAGTATAACTTATCTTGGATTGTCGGCCCAACCATCAAAATATAATTGAGACTTCTGGGTTGACGAATTACATATACATATGTATGACCCAAGGAAAGGTACTCTTCCACGAATTCTACGTACATTTTCTTCAGTTGCAATTTTTTCATGAAATGGCGGCACTCAAAGAAAAAAGCCGAGTTTTTGTACTCATTTTTCCATTTTGTCGAATTTTTAAAAATATAAATTTAAAATTTTTATTTTTTGTTGGTTCCAGCGATAGAGATATATTTAAAGAATATTCATGCCAAATTTCAAGTAAATCAATTGATTAGAACTTGAGATATAGTGGCGACCGCATCAAAAAAAATAGTTTCGAGAAAAACGCGTTTAAAGTTTTACGTTAGTTTCGGGCAGCGTAACTGATAGAATATTACGAATAAATTATATTCCCTTAATCAGCTATCCCAGCTTCATACAATGATCATCAAACGATTAGTGTAGCATACTGAAACAAGAAAGGAAAGCTAACTTCGGGCGGAGCCGAAGTTGATATACCCTTGCAGAATATTATGTACATTATATTCTCCAAAATTATTCATATGATGCGTTCTTAATACTCATAAAAAATTCCAACTTCCTAACTTTAAAAACACCAAAGTTATGGCATTTCCAATCGTTCAGTTATATGGCAGCTATAAGATATACTCGGCCGATCCTTATGAAATTTGATAGGTCGGATTGATTGGCCAAATTTAAAACCCATAGAAAATCCCAACTTCCTAACTTTACAAACACCGAAGTTATGGCATTTCCGATCAATCAGTTATATGGCAACTATAGGACATAGTCGGCCGATCCTTATGAAATTTGGTAAGTCGGATTGATTGGCCAAATATAAAACCCATAGAAAATCCCAACTTCCTAACATTACAAACACGAAAGTTATGGCATTTCCGATTAATCAGTTATATGGCAGCTATAGGATATAGTCGGCCGATCCCGGCCGTTCCGACATATATACTGCGTGCAAAGGAAAGAAGGGTGTGTGCAAAGTTTCAATTTGATATCTTTAAAACTGAGAGACTAGTTCGCGTAGAAACAGACAGACGGACAAACAGACGGACAGACGGACATGCTTATATCAACTCAGGAGGTGATCCTGATCAAGAATATATATACTTTATAGGGTCGGAGATGTCTCCTTCACTGCGTTGCACACTTTTGACCAAAATTATAATACCCTCTGCAAGGGTATAAAAAAGGGTATTGTTATAGAAAAAAGAAGACAAAGTTATTCATACTAAGGTAGCCCGGGCTTCCAGCCATTTATTGTTCCAGTCGTTCGCTCAACCGGTCTAGTGGCCACGTCACTAATATATTAATACAGGGTGCTCCATGTTTTATGTCGGCATTTCATTTAGTTTGGTTCCTTCCAATTTTTCTGGACTAGTTTTTGAAAACAATGGCCACCCATGTTAGCAATTACAAAATGGCTCCTTTTTTATGTTTGTTTATTTTTAAATTTGTAGAGAACAAGCTATTTTGTTGAATTTTTTGACCTGACTAGTTTTTGAATACAACATCAATTAAGTGGCCACCCTTGTTAGCAATTTCAAAATGACTCCTTTTTTCTGCGTTTGCCATTATTTTTCCCAGCATCTCGGGTGTTATAGTGTTGATTTCAGCACGAATGTTTGCCTTAAGCTCGTCAATAGTTTGGGGTTGGTTGGCGTAAACCTTGCTTTTTAGATAACAACACAAAAAAAAGTCCGGGGGGGTTAAATCACCGCGGCGACGATACAACACTGTTGGGTCCT